TTGGGCTACTCTTTTACCAACGAATAGTGGGATTGACCGTCACATTATAATGCCCCCACGGCTGAAAGGTCGAGCATGTTTGGCGGGACGGGGATTCGAACCCGCGACCTGCAGACTGCGAGTCGAGCGCCCTAAGCACCTGGCCATGACCTTAATCTGAGTTGTTGCTGTTGTTAAAAGTAATCACACTTATGTTTTATAAAACTTTTACCTCTGAGCAACTGCTGTTTCTGCTGCAGAAACTGTCTTTCTAACAGGGCTATTTTCTCTCTGTGGGTATCTCCTAACCGCTTCATTGATATCTCATGGTTATCATTTAACCTTTCTAAAAATGCCCTCTCCTACGATGGAAATGATAAGCCATTAAAAATTCACTGTTATAACAACATAAAACTAAAATTAAACTTTTAATTCTTTTGGCTTTAACGTGATTATAAAACACTTTTAATAACTTTTTGAGATAATCAAAATAAATTTAAATTATATATAAGTACTTGATACTTATACTTTTAAAAGCTATCTTTAATACGGATAAATTCAGAAAACATAAAACATTTTCAAAACTCAAAAGATTCATTAGCTTGATAAAACTGTCTGTAAGAGTTAACCTAATTACTAAAGTTATTTTTAGACAAATTCCTGTATGTATAAAAATATAAAATATATTACATGCATATTATTATTATATTAATATAACTATTATTTTTTTTCAATAAAAGGTAGCACTTTTAATATATAAAACCATTACAGTTTATATCAGTAAAATTTAGGAACATTTTGAGTTTTGTACATTGAATCATTTTGATGCAATGAGTTGTGTATGACTAAAGAGTACAATCTGAACACTTTTCCCATGCAGTACTTCCCAGAAAAAAAAACCTTTAGAAAATGTTCACTTTTCTTACAATGAGCTATGAACACTACAAGTACTAATTAGCACAAACAGCCTCTCATATGGCAGTGTTGCTGCTAGTTTTATCAATTAAACCCAGATAAATTAATATATAATAACTTTTATAAATATTTCTCAACCTCATGTAGAATCAATTATGTAGGAATGACATCATACCAACAGAATAAGATAAATTTTTCATTATTAGCTATCATGTAAAATTTCCCAGATCACTTTCAATAAACTTTATGTTAATTACATTTCTCCCAAATCCATGTTTGTTTGTTTTTCCAAAAGTTGGTTGCCCTTGAGAATTGTTAGCTGTCATAATCATTATGGGACTTTTTCAATCTACGAAATCCAATAACATTAAAGATCTGGTCAGGCGTGATTTTAAGTGAAGTATTGTCTGAATTTGGAATTATTCTACAAGGACTTGTTTTGTAACAGTTCTTAATGTTCCACAAGGACTTGTTTTGTAACAGTTCTTAATGTTCCAATGACATAAAATGCAGGCAATAAATCAATGATATACAATATCCAGAAGAAAAAATATTAAACAAAATAATCCAAACTTGTCTATTAATGTAGGACTACAATCCTAATGTTTACACGCACTAGAGAGAAAAGTGTACTTTGGTAAATTTTAACTCAAACAAAAACACATAAAATACTGTTCTGATCACACGAATTATTGGTGTTCAACTTCCAAGGTGGAATAAGTGTAAGTTTAATATATGATTTTTTATAAGAAACAATTGTAAAGATACGAGAACAAAAAGGCTAAAAACACTTCAATATAATATTAATACATGCAATGTTTAACTCTTGGGTCATTAATTGAATGTTCTGCTGTGTATTGAGCCAGTTATTGTTGATTTAATATCTGTTGTAATGTGCAGTTAAGATCGAAGTTACACAAGTCTACATTATATGTCATTTCATCAGAGTCTGAAGGACAGTATTGTTAACCGAGTAGTCTTGCCCCTAGCACATGCTGAGATTTCACTCACCCTTTCTGAATGTTCCTGATCAAGTTTTTCTTTTCTAACCCTAAAGACATCCTTTCGTTTGTCTTTTGGTAGTAGTTCCACTTCCTGTTTCAATAACTTTGATTCACTCTTCATGCTGTCCCTAAATGCCTTCAACTCTCGCTCCTTTTGAATTCAAAGTTGATTTTCAAAATACAATCATGAAAATATACATATATAAATGGTTTTCATACTTTTACAACAATGATACATATACTCCTCATCTTCACTTCAAGGATATCTCATTCACTAGGAAATATTACATCCTTCTCTCTTTGTATTTTATTGCCTTGGTTTCAATTGTGTGTGTTGCTTCATATTTTCAGTCTGTAATCTAGCTTTCAACCAAAGAACAAGCATTAAAATTAAAAACAAGATTAAAAGTTCAATTCAAATTAGATGCTTGGGCAACTTACGTATGCTGACATATTCACGTATATAAGTAACTACTCGTGATCCAAAAAAACAACACATTTTTTACATATTGGAATTCCTCTCGTATACAAAACATACCTGTTCACTCCTGATTTTTTTCGATGCTACCTTGAGATCCGTTTCTTGCTGCTGCTCTGCTCTTTCTACCATCTGTTTCTGCTGCCTATTGAGGGCTTCCAGGTCAGTGTCATAATTCCTTAGTAGGTTCTTCAAAAACAAACAATAATTATACATAATAAACAACTGACACATTTCATAGCATAAGAAATTGGCATTTAAGTGTTTACCTGTAACATGATATCGGTGACTCTTGAAAATTTATATTTTGTTCTTTGCCTGAAGTGGGCTTTAGGCTAAAACGCTGAAAAATAAATCCATTCATTAAGAGCAGAGAAAGTGTTTTTATCTACTACTTTTTGTTATTTAATTCTGTTAGCACATTTATTAATTAAGTTAATATAAAATAGTTGAATTTTGTTTTTGAAGACAATGAAATTAAGTTTATGCTTAACAGTTATCAGCCTAACAGTACTGTTCCATTTTGTCATTTTGTTCTTCCCAGAAATTAATGTCTTAACAGGTAAAAATAGACATACTACAACGAAAATTAATATTAACTCATAAGTTAGCAATTCTATGACAACACCAGTTATTGTACTGGGTTTCATGTCACAATTCCAAAGATAGGCTAGACTGATAGTAATACTGAAATAAACCCACTCCTGCATCTTACATGGCAACAATATCTCAGAGATAGCTTGATTGCTTATATTCCTACAATTTGGTGCTTGATTGCTGAAGTGAATAAAGCACAGACAGCCCACTGTACAGCTTTGTGCTTAATAACAAGCAAATAAGCCACTGTTAATATATTATTTAAAAAAAGTGTTAGAAATGAAACCATTTTCTCAGTGCATTTTTCTCACTCAATCTGGCATTTCCTTAAAGCAAGCCTCCATTTTTCCTGCTGATCTAACAATCTCAAGTAATCTATTGTCAATTGTATTTATTTATTGAGGAAATATCAGCCTACACATTTCAGAGTGTTCCACTAATTACTAATTTTATGTTTCTTAGAAATCATTTTAATAAAATGTTGAATAATGTTTTAGCTACAAATGTTTTTGTTTTTCAGGCCTATTAGAAGTTACTTCCTGTGTGACAACATTGTTGCTGTAGCTTTCATATCGAGCTACTGAGTAAAGAAAGGTTAAATGTAGATTTTTCACAAATCTTAAATATTAATACACCAAAAGATAAATAACTATCACCTCTCAATCCATAAACTATAATAGGTTTATTCTCATCTACACAATCAAATGGTACTAAAAAAGGAATCTTTGTCTCAAAATATAATGAACAGTGATAAATTTATTGATACTATGACTTTAGGTTTGTATATTTCAGAAATTTCTAAAACAAAATTTTCTTACAGCCATTTCCTGTTCAAATCTTTTTTCCTGTTGTTCTCGAGTGAACTGTGCCTTCATTGCTAAGTCTTGGAACTGTTTAGTTTCTTGTTTTTGTAGCATTTTCAATTCTCTCATCTCTTGTTTTCTGTGAAAAAAAAAGCAACATTAATGCTAATCCACAACCAGCAAGTTTATGATTTCAAACAAAACATAATTAGCTAAAAACTAAAGAAAAAACATTTTATATTGATTTAGACTTTTTCTTTCAAATCCTCCGAGTTTTTCCTTCAATTAGCCTGATTTTGTTATACAGAAAGTAACAGTAACAGTCATCAACGAGAAAGTTATACCTGCTTAAATGAAAAACTGTAGCATCTAAAAACATAAGTACAAGTATTTTCAGTGAGTTCACACAAATTTAGGCAATGTATGTAGAAAGTTTTCTATACTAAATACAAACACATTAAAAGCATTACAAAATTTCACAGGTTTAGAAAATATTGAAAAAAAATCTAAAAATGTATATTGTATAGCCAAATTTCAGTAATTTACTTAAGCAGGCACTCTATAACTTTAAAAATATATCCTAAAGTAACTTCATATATCTTCCACATGATGTCAAATATTACAAAATTAGAAAACTTTCAATTAATTCTACCATGGTCAAAAATGCATGAAGTAAACAATGGATGGTTCTATATGTAACGAAAAAAAATAAAAAAATTGGAGCTATGCTTCTGATGTTTCACAAAGTTTATTCATGATATTAGAAAAACATGTTAAAACACGTAGGTTCAAGAAGTCTTCATATAAATGATAAAAACCCTATAACCCAAAAGGTGGACCTTTCTTCTTCAGGGGCAAACTGAAGAAGAAAG